CAGGTGGGCTCTCACACACACAGGAGCAGGGGGTGACACCTTTCCCCATCCACAGGTGGCTGCTTTACTCCAAGCCTTTCTTTGATGACGATCCCTACGTTCTGGAGCCAGGCGGGTACCCCAATTTGAAGGCGTGGGGAGCAAAGGAGCCGTCCATCTGCTCCATGCACCCCATCAGGCTGGTGAGTGCTGTGTCCAGCTGTGAGTGGGTTCTGGCAGCTCCTGGTTCCCATCAGTGAGATCACGATGTGGGAACAGGCCAAACGTGGCTTTGGGAAGTGCTCCTGTGGGTCAGGGGTGAGGGAAAGCTCCAAAAGGGCTTCTTGAATGAAAATGAGCCAAAACCAGCTCAGGCTCTGTAGGGTGGCAGCAGATGTCCCTGCAATGTCTCCTCCTGCCACCACAGCCTCACTGGGGCTCCTTCTCCTTCCAGGGCTGCCCCGTCGTGGAGAGACCTGGTGAGCCTCAGGTGAGCTCTGGGGCAGCTCCCAGGAACCCTGGGCTGGCCCTGGGACCATCCTCACCCCGCCTTGTCCCCTCCTCACCCTCCTCACCTGTCCCCAGGTGCTGATCTATGAGGCTGCAGCTTTCCAGGGCTGCAGCTTCACCGTCAGCAGAGACATCTACGACCTGAGGGGCCTGCCCGAGGCAGCCCTGCCCACCGTGGGCTCCCTGCGTGTCCTGGGGGGCTGGTGAGTGCCACGGGGAGGGCAGGGCCGGGAAGGTGACGGCCACCCCTGGGAAGGGCTGTGGAATGGCTCTGGGGCACCTGGGGGAGAGGCTGTGCATGGTGCCCCCATGCCCCAGCACGTGGAAACGCTCTGGAGTCCTCAGCGCCCGTCTGCCTGTGCCACAGCTGGGTTGGCTACGAGAAGGAGGGATTCCGTGGCCACCAGTACCTGCTGGAGGAAGGGGAGTACCAGGACTGGAGGCACTGGGGCGGCTACAGCCCGGAGCTGGTGTCCCTGCGGCTCATCCGGACGGTGAGGAAAGGCTGGGAATGGCTGGGAAGGGATTTGAGAGAGCCAGGCACCCCCATCCCATCCTCACCCCCAAAGGGAGCCGTCCCTGCCTGCATCAGGCAGCTGGACAAGGCTTGAGAGCCCCCAGAATCATCCAGGCCAAGGTTTGGCAGCTTTGGCAGCTTTGGGTGCCCAAAGCCAGGCAGGAGCTCACTGTGCGTGTGCCCAGCCCACAGCCCCTTCCCCTGACAGACCCTGGGGCCTGGGGGGCTCCTTCTCCCTGCAGGATTTCTCAGAGCCAGCCCTGGTGCTGTTTGAGGCCATGGACTTCGAGGCGGGCGCGAGCGTGGAGCTGAGCGAGGCGCTGCCCGACACGGGGCTGGCTGGTTATGGCAGCGTCACACAGTCCATCCACGTGCTGAGCGGGGTGTGAGTGTGCCAGGGGGAATGGGGGCTGAGTGAGGGGGGAACGGGCCAGCACTGACCTCCCCCCACAGCTGGGTGGCCTACGAGGGCCCCAACTACTCCGGGGAGCAGTACATCCTGGAGAAGGGCGTGTACCGCAGCTGCGAGGACTGGGGTGCCACCGACTGCCACATCGCCTCTGCACAGCCCATCCTGCAGGTGAGGGACAGCCCCCAACCCATGGCACCCCCCGGGCTGGTGGGGTCACAGCCAGACCCCCACCAGCCCTGCTCTGCTTGGTTCCAGGTCAGGGAACACAACCTGCACTTCGTCTCCAAGGTAGGGCTGCTGATGGGGAGGGGCTGCAGCCCCTTGGGGGGTGGTGGGCATGCTTTGCCCCTTCACTGAGCCCTGTGCTCCCTCCCCAGATCCTGCTTTTCTCAGAGCCGGATTTCCTGGGGGACCACGTGGCCTTTGAGGAGGACCAGGGTGCCCTGCCCGAAGCCTTCACCCCGCGCTCCTGCCGAGTCCGTGGGGGCAGGTGGGGTGTCGGGGTGCTGGGGAGGGATGGGTGCCCTCCATGACAGCTCTGTCAGCCCGGGAATGTCCTCCCCACCAGCTGGATCCTGTTCGACGGGCAGGACTTCACTGGGGAGCAGCACGTGCTGTCCGAGGGCGAGTACCCCACGCTCAGTGCCATGGGCTGCCTGTGCTCCACCGCCATCTGCTCCTTGAGGAAAGTTCCGCTGGTGAGCCCTTCCCTTCCCTTCCCTTCCCTTCCCTGATGTTTTTCCCCTCTTAGGGACACCCCCAGTTCTGCCTCAGCCCCCCAGGACCCCTCACTCCCCCTTTTTCCCCCCAATCCCACAGTTTTTCTCGGAGCCCTCCATCTTCCTGCACGGCCTGGAGTGTTTCGAGGGGAAGGAGATCGAGCTCAACGCTGAGGTGCGGAGCCTGCAGGCCGAGGGTTTCAACAACCACGTGCTGTCCGTGCGGGTCAAAGGAGGGATGTGAGTGACCCCTGGGTGTCCCCTGTCCCTGTCCTGTGTCCCCCTGTCCCCCTGGGTGTCCCCTGTCCCCATCCTGTGCCCCCTGTCCCCCTCGGTGTCCCCTGTCCTGTGTCCCTCTGTCCCCCTTGGTGCCCCCTGTCCCCATCCTGTGCCCCCCTGTCCCCATCCTGTGCCCCCTGTCCCCATCCTGTGACCCCCTGTCCCCATCCTGTGCCCCCTGTCCCCCAGCTGGGTGCTGTGTGAGCACGGTGATTTCCGAGGGCGGCAGTGGCTGCTGGACTGCACTGAGATCACCAACTGGCTGACCTACAGCGGGCTGCAGCACGTGGGCTCCCTCTACCCCATCCGCCAGGTGAGGGGCACCTTTGGGAGGGGACAGGGCTGTGTCACCTGCTGGGGTGAGCCCAAAACCCCGGGGCTCACATGGACACAGAGCTGCCAGCCCTGGGCTGGGAGAGCTGGGCATCCTGGCAGCTCTGACACCGGAAAGGTGCCACCAGCTCGGTGCTGTCACCCCACATTCCTGTCCCCCACCCTGGGAGTGGCTGCCTTTGTGGTGAAATGCTCCCTGTGGGCAATGCCTCGTAAAACACACAGCATGGCAGCGTGGTGAGCTGTGCCAGCTGCCAGGGACAGGTCACGGGCACAGCCATCGCCCTGGGGACACCTGGGGACATCCTGGGGGGGAGAACAATGGGGAGAACCTTTCTGAGTGCAGGATCCTCCTTCCCAGAGCCCCAGCTGGGTGAGGAGCTGCAGGCAGGCAGGTCTGGGGTGCAAAGCCAGGCGGGTTTGGGTGCAAGGCCAGGCTCCTCTCTTGCAGAGAAGAGTTTGGGTGCCAAGCCAGATGGGTTTGGGTGCCAAGCCAGGCTCCTCTCTTGCAGAGAAGGGTTTGGGGTGCACAGCCAGGCTCCTCTCTTGCAGAGAAGGGTTTGGGGTGCACAGCCAGGCTCCTCTCTTGCAGAGGAGGGTTTGGGGTGCAAAGCCAGATGGGTTTGGGGTGCACAACCAGGCTCCTCTCTTGCAGAGAAGGGTCTATTTCCACATCAGGAGCAGGGAGCTGCAGCTCCTCCTCTCGGTGCCCGACGACGTGGAGGACATGAAGGCGGGCAGGGTGGTGGTGTCCAGCCTGAGCGAGCAGAGCAGCTCAGTGTGGTACTACGAGGACGGGCTGATCAAAAACCAGGTCAGGGCTGGGCAGTGGCAGCCAGCGCCACCCAGGGGACCCGGGCAGGCCCTGGCAGGGCTCCTCTGGGCACTCCCCACCCCTCAGCCTTCTCCCAGGGATCCAACTCATCTGCACAGCCATCATCTCCATCCCCTGGAGATGGTGTGAGGCCATCTCTGCCTTCCCTGCTGAGCTTTTATCACCCCCATCACCCACACCTCTCACCGAGGGGCTCCCCCTGCTCACCCACATCCCAGCACAGATGCAGCCGCCCTAGAGGGCCCTCCCTGCCCGTGTCCCCTGCAGGTGGCCCCCACCATGAGCCTGCAGGTGATCGGGCCGGCGGGGAAAGGCGCCAAGGCCGTGCTCTGGTCCGAGACGCGGCTGCCGCGGCAGACCTGGAGCGTGGACAGCCAGGGACGGATCCACAGCCAGATGTTCGAGGACATGGTGCTGGACATCAAGGGTGAGCCCTCAGCCCCGCACACCCTGCTTGCCCAGGGACGCCCCAGGACGGGGTGTTTCCATCAGGAGCTGGGTTTGCCCTCCCCAAACCTCCCCTTGTTCTGCAGGCGGCCGCAGCTACGACCGGGACCACGCCGTGGTGTGGGACATGGCTGAGGAGCGACCCACGCAGCTCTGGGACATCCAGGTGCTCTGAGGGACAAGGGCAGCATGGGGACACCGTGCCAGCGTCCCCACACGGGGGCAGGAGGCCTCAGACCCATCCACGCTGCATCCTCAGCACCTCTGCCCCAGCTACTGGTGTGGGGGATGACCACCATCCTCTCCATCACGGGGGTTCCACCCCACCTCCCTCCGTGGAGGCCTGAGCACGGCCCATGCAGGATGCCATGGACACGGCCAGAGTGGCACCCTCTGGAGAGCAGCAGGGCCCTCCCCACAGGCGTTCCTGCCCCCTGAACTGTATTTATGTACGTGTGTAAGATACCGCCCTGCCTGGCTGGCTGGTGTCCTTGTCCTTGTCGTGCCCACAGCCTGGCAGCTCCCGCAGCCCGATGCTGGTGCCAGGATGG